ATTAAAAACTCCCTCCCTTTCTGCCATGTGATGATGGCCTTAGGGTAAGATTGGATATGTGAGTGTTATAATGGATAATCAAGTTCTAATTCATTGTACTCACTTATACCTAAATACACTTGGGAATGGTATATATCCATCTATTCTTACCCAGCTATGGGTTAATTAGTAGGACATATGAGTAAACGATTTAACTCCTACCCCAAAAAGAAAAAAAAATTATAATCTAAAAATATTATCTTGCAAAAAATTGATAAGCCATAAAAACAAATCAATCAATCAATATATATATATATATACACACACATTCTCTTAGACAAGTTTTGTTTATGAATTCTTGCTGCCTAAACCCAACTCATTTGTATTTATTTATATTATATATATATATATATATATATATATATATATATATATATATATATGTGAAAAAGAATAAAAGGAAACCTTAGCCAAGGCTTTTCTTCTCTGAGTGACTTTATAAAGGCAAATGTAAGGGTTTTATTTTGTGACAAGTATTTATATATTCTATATAGCATTGGGTAAGATAAGTTTTTCTTTTGGCTTTTTCATATTCTCCTTTTGCAGATATACACTATCAGAAATTTTTACACACATATACATACTGTCGGTGGAGGTATTATGTATATTTATTAATATATACTTAATAGCTGTTTTATTTAGCAGTGAGCACTGTTTTTCTTACACTAAAGGATATATATATATATATATATATATATATATATATATATATATATATATATATATATGTGTGTGTGTGTGTGTGTGTGTGTGTGTGTGTGTGTGTGTATGTATTTGAACACTTACACATACATTTATTTATATTTATCCATTTGTGTATACAAACAAGCACACACATGTGTGTGTATGGTGGGGGTAATTGATATTCAATGACGAAATGAAAGAAGTCATGTGATATGATGCATTTCATTCTTCAAAAGGACTTTTTAGAGACTAATTAATGTTTTTATTGAGGGAATCATATATATCTATGTCGGGAGAAGCAACAAAATATATACAAACATCAGTGATAATTATACAATGAGAGAAATACTGAAGTTAAGTATCCCTGCATCTTCGGTGTTTCTCATTTTTTATTTCATTCCCTCCTAATGTTTTTAGTGATGGAATCATATATATGAGTATTTAAGTACATATATATGATTACATCTATAAAAACATTATTTAGTTTGAAGAAGTCCTTTTGAAAGATGTAACATGGCACAAATGATTTTTTTCATTCAATTTCCATTTATATAATATATAGAGTTTATATATTATATTCTCCCATATATATATATGTGTGTGTGTGTGTGTAAAATTATCATAGTCTGGCTTTACAAATGAAAGTTGGAGGAGATCCCTTCTGAACTGTCAGTGGTTGACAAGACATACACTGGACAGACAAATCTTTCTACATTAGTTGCAGGAGGAGACCTGGCAATCAGAAAGAGTTCCATTATTACAGCACTGGCCCCTTCCTTTTCTTCTCCTCTAGTTTTGTACATAGTTATATTGGCTGTAATATAATTCTATGCCTCCCTATATGCAGGTTATTGGCAATAGTTGACCCCACAATGGGTGTGGGTCCTTTTTTTACAAAGTCCTTGTATCTCTTCTGTAGTCAAACGCAGGTCATGTTAACAAGTCTGTTTTTCTAAGACAACCCCACCCACCACATTTTCTACTATCACGATTTTGCATTCATGCTTTTGGCTAAGCTATGAAAATACTTCTTTGCACCCTGTCACATTTTCAACTACATTTATGTTGTCACTGGCATTTTCAGATTGAAATATAGGTTGACGAAGTGAATAAAATATGTCAATTATAATTAAGTGAGCAACGATCCTCAAAATAACTAAATAATAGTAAGAACTGAAGAACACTAATTACTTATTTGTAAATTATTTACAATCTTTTTCTTCTATTCATTTAGCATGTTGGCTTAATGACTCTCCACAACTTCCTATCTCTTGTAGCTCTAAGTAATGTTTGTCCTTTTATTATTTATGCCAGCCCCTTTTTGCCATCCATTTACACAAGTTTGTTAGGTAGGTTACTCGATGTTTCCCTCTGCCCCTCTTGCCTTATGAATGTCAAATTTTCCATGCTCTCTTTCCTCATTATGCATCCCACAAATTTAAACTGTCACTTTCTGATTTTAAATACAAGTTTCATCTTACATTATTTACATTATTCGGACTATTGTCCTCATCTTTGTCACCATATTTATCACAACGTTTCGGCCGTTGTACAATCGACCTTCATCAGGTGGTTGGAATGTCGAACTGAACCCTTTGTGTTAAATATGGTAACAAAGATGAGGACAATAGTCTGAATAATGTAAATAATGTACATAATACCTCATCTCAGAAATATAGACAAGTTTCATCTTAGTTTCCATTTTCCTTAAAACTTACTTGTTGCCTACACATTACCTTCATTGAATTCTCAGCATCCTTCTGTATAACCACATCTTTGTTGCCTCATCTCCTCTTCAGCTGTGAGGAAAATGTCCAGCATCCACTGGCATATAGGAGGATTTATAATACATAGAACTTAACCACTCTTAAATTGTTGGAATGTGTTTCAAAATCCCAGCATTAATAGAGAGAAAATATAAGAGGTGGAAACAATATTGAAGACAGGGCATTGTCACTCCTGACATGGACTGATTATTCAGAGTTTCTGAACAGAATGCCATGCTTGGCATATTTCTCTCAGTAGTCATGGTTCCAGGTTTCAATTCTTTGAGAATAAAGAAAAAACAAAACAAAAGGCAACCCTTATAGAATGCTTCAGAAACTTTGGGTTCTTATTAGGTTATCATTATAGGAAGGAAATTGAAGAGAGAAATGTAACAAGTTCATATAATAACAAAAGGTTCAGTAGAATATAAAAAGGTTATTTATTTGGCAGTACGTCACCACTTAACACACATACATAGCCAGTATTGCACAGCCCTCTCCTGCCCTGAACATAGTGATTGATCCCTGATATTAAATCAGCAGCCAATATAAAGTAACTCAGGCCTCTGTCGGTTCTTACCGAAACTAAGTGGGGAGGTTTTCTTTTTGAGTCTGGAGTGGCAAGCAAGTTGTTCTCGTCTTCTTTCCCTGGATTAAACCACAGAAAATTACACAGACTTGCAACGATGTAATAAGCAACACCAACACTACAAACAATAAACAAAATAATGAATTTGGTCTTGACTTGGGTGTCCAATACTTTGGGCCTTTTTATTCTGAGTTCAATCCCAGTATCAGGTAGTACAGACTCAGACCTAGAGCAAAAATGTCAAGCAATAGTGATTTACTAAGTGTAGCTTAGATGTGGCACAAGGACGACAGTATTGAGCCTCCAAGTCAAGCAATAAATGAGCAGTCTTAAATAAGAACTAGAAAAAGATATCCTTAGAGAAGGACAGCAGAATAAGAATGATCTGCAGATTAAATGGAGGTTTCAGTTCAAAATCCCCTGAAAGTTACTCAGATCAACACTCACCTGATGAAGAGCAAAATTGTCAAAGTTTTTTGATAATAATAACAAAGATGAGGACAATAATCTGATTGTAAATAATATAAATAATGATAATGCTTCATCCCAGAAATTCAGACAGAAAATACCTAATCAGTACTAAATATGAACGAGATAATCTATCATTAGATATGGTCAGCAGGAGTAGAACAATCTACCCCCTTTAAAACTAACTGCTCTAGTAGACAGGCATACTTGGATAAAAGCAGCCTGCCATGAACCAGCACCACCATTCACTTTCAAAAAAAAAAAAAAAAGAATTATTCTTGCAATCCAAAATATGTTTTGTTTTTAAATAACCCACAGAACTAGGAGCTGTCTAAGTAGAACTCTCTCCTTACCAATGGAATATAAAGGGAATGAGGATGATTCAACCATGTGTATGTAGCATGGCAGGACTTAGCTGTAAAGGTCAATAATGGTAAAATGAAGTGGAAGACAGTTACAAAGCCTGAATAAAATATTCTCATCACAGATGGAACGATCATAAGACCCTAGTTTTAGGAAGTGTGTTGGTTCAAGAATGTTTCAAAAGCTCCTTGTATGTAATTTCAATTCATGAAAGTGGCATGTTGTGTCCTAACTCTAAAGGGCTGAAATAGTAGAACTAAACTACCAATAACATGCAATAAAAGAGTAATACTAAATAAGAACAAAACAAGAGATGTACCATAAGACAAGAACAATCTAAACCCAATCTAGATTAAATAAAGGGTTCAGTTTGAAATTCTCAAAAGTTTAGCCAGGTCAACAAACACTTGAAGAAGAATGGAGGGCCCAACTGCAGAAATGTTATGATAATAGACAACAGATGAGGATATTAGTCTAAATATAAATAACATAAAAAGAAATGAGAACATGCAAATCTGAGACAGGCATTGTAAGATTGCATTATGTTGTTTTTCATTTATAGATTTCTAAATGTGTTCTCAAACAACTGGAGCAATCTGTTTAATCCTCCATCAGGTATCATGAAATATTGTTATCACAATTTTTGAGGAACATTTATTTATTTTTTTATCAGAAATTATTTCTTGGTAATGCTAACTGGTTTAATTTCTTCATCTCCATCTCTCAGCAAACTGATTTTTGCAACACTTGAAAAGGTAAAAAAAAAAAAAATCTCAGAAACAATAAACAGTGTTAATGAATTTAAAAGAGCCAAGGACAGAAATGAACAGAAGAAGCTGATTTGTAATATGTGACAATATTCACACCCTGAATAAAACATAGAACAAATGAAGACAACACAATGACAATGAGGAGCAGTAAAGTATGTCAATGTTGTGTAATCTTGGAGTCAAATATTACGAAAGAAAAAGCATTCATAAGGAATCTGTTTTCTTTCTACAAACACATGCTCTCACTCTTCTCCCTATCTCTCTTTCCTTCTCCCTCTATTTACTTCTCATTCCACTTTGGTTTTGGCTACAATATGTTTTATGTTCATCATTCAATTTCTACCTATTTTCTACTACTCCACATTTTTTTTTTCAAAATTGTTGTCAATTTTCTTCATTTTTTTTTTCTCTCATTTTCTGTTTTTAATTTCATGTTTTATTTTCTCTTTTCCTTCTTTCTCCTTTACATATCTTTTTTTTTCTCTCCTTCTTCCTTATATTTGTTTTCTTTCTTCTTTACATTTGTTTGTTTGTTTCTATTCTATTCAAATATCTCTTCCTTGTCTTTCAGTTTCCATTTTTTGCTTATCTTGTCTCTCTCTCTCTCTCTCTCTCTTTCCCAGTTTTTCTCTCTCTCTCTCTTCTATCAATTTCCTTTTTATTTTCTCTCATCTGTTTTCTTTCTTCCTTTCTGATGACATTTTTAATTTCTTTTCATCTTTTTTTTTACCTAATTTTTTGTTCAAATGTTTCAAATTTTTTCTCCCAGTTGTTTTCTTTCTTGCTTCTACATCATTTTCTTTCTTTCTTTCTTTCTTTCTTTTTCATCTATCCATTTCTTTTATTTATTTATCTTTCTTTCTTACTCTCTCATTCATTTAAAGTTTTCTATTTTCTATCTTAATCTCATTATTTTCACTCCACTTTCCCCCTTTCCACCTCCTTCTCTTTCTTCACTATTTTCTTCTTTCTATTTCCAGTTTCCTTTTCATAATTCTACCATTTTTTAATTATTCCTTTTACTTATTCCTCCTTCTTTCATCTCTCTCTCTCTCTCTATAATATATATATATATATATATATATATATATATATATATATATGTATATATATATATATATATATCTTTCTTTCTATCTTTCTGTTTCTCCTTTTTATTCTTTTAACTTTTCTCCTAACCAACCAGCTGACAATGCAACAAACTTTTAAAATTTTAATAACCTCCATAAATGCATGCATGCCTGATGGACACTTCAAAGACATTCGCTACGTCGCAGTTACAATCCAAAGTGAATTTTTCCATTCCACATTCTTCATTCATTTCTCTTTTACTTTTCATAGTTTATTTCTTGTTTGTTTTCAAATCAAATTACCTACAACTTGTGCCAACTTGTAAACAAGACACAACAAAAATTTAATTGCTTTATTCTCCAAGTTTCTTTCTACTCTGGCACAACTTGTCAATATTTCTACCCTTTTAAAAAGGAATAGTGAAATAGTCTAATGGATATTTCACCAGAATATGGAGATAATATAACAACCACAAACTGTGGTTACCAACAGTTAGTACTTTTTCTACCAATGTTCACAAGAAAGGCATAAATTCAAACCTCTTGTTACTAGTATGCCATGATTGGACATGAAACAAGGACAAATCATGTGTAAATTTCTCTTGCTATATTTTTCTTCAAAGATACCCAGTCCTGGATATGATGATAAACTACATCTGATAGCAAGGCAATTAGAGTTTTTCAGTAGCATCGAACCACCTCTTAATTGCTTTTGTTTCCAGGTCAACTCTCATTCAAGGTAGCAGCACCTTTCAGGGCCACAGCTATGGGCAAATAGTGAACATTATGAATGTATAAAAATACCATTTTATAGTAAAAATACCAGCAATACATTTTTATATAAAAAAAAATCATGAAATTGTTTTTAAAATAGTGTATTAAATAATAAAACTTTTAATTTTTATTAAAAAAATAATGAAAATTTATTATACTAAGCTATACACCCTAGTAAAACCAACTGTACCTTGTACCCCCTTATCTTTTTCCACTTCTTTACAAAATTCAGTTTCAATCAGTCAATGTATGGCTATTTTAGAGGGTGTGAGGCTAGACTAACAGAAGTCACAGAATTATATATATATATATATATATATATATATATATATATATATATATATATATATATATATATATATATATATATATATAGATAGATAGATAGATAGATAGATAGATAGATAGATAGATAGATAGATAGATTCACACATAATCACTTTCAAGAACATTGTTATTTTTGAGCAGTTATGGTCAGCAACTAATGCCATTAGTAGCGCATGCCTTTTTATTACTCATGTCAGAATGGAAGCTGCTATATCAATGCTCTTGATATGTCTGAAAGCGACATGATGATTTCTCTCTGAATTCCTCTAATGAATAGATATCATTATTTACATGCAGATATTAGTCTGAATAAAGTGTTGAATAAGAAGATGGAATTTATGAACTTTTAAAGGAATGTTTTTCTCTAAGCATAAAAGGAATATCCTAGCGATGACCAAATATAAATGACAATTTTATTGTTACAATGAAGAAAATGCAGTTCAATTTTTTTTCAAAACTTGGCAAAAATGTATCAGATTATGATTTCAATTCTCAGAATTTGAAATGCCTTATTTTTTCTGATTATGATTATGCATTAAAAAAGAACAGAGGAACTGTAATTAAGAATTACAACTTGTAGTTGCAAATGGTTTACCTTTTCTTTCTCTTCATTTGCAATGTTAATATCTTTATAAAGTTAAAAGAATAATTCTTGAATTCAACATTATAAGAGTTATGATTCAAAGACTAAAGATTCATTTGTCTGAGTTTGAAATCAGATTTCTCTTAAATGTTATCTCTTCTACTGTTGTATAATCTTCTATGTCCCTTTGGGACGTGAATGATGATGGCTCTCCTTAATTTCCTGTCCTTCATAGCTCTTAATAAATGTTGTCCTTTTCTTAATTCCCCTAAACCTTATCTGGGAAAACAATGCATAACCTACTTAGAGAGCTTGAGTAAATGGATAGAATGAAGCAAGATTTTAGAAAGATAACAATAGGACAACATTTATTAAGATCTATAAAAGAGAAGAAATTATGGAGAGCCATGATTACTTAAGTCCTGAAGAGACATGGCACATTGAAGAAGAAGAATTGGCATAACAGATTAATTTGGCCAACATTTAAAATAACTTTGAAAGTCAATTATGCTTTCATTAAGGTATTTATATTATGTTTATATTGTATATGTATATGTGCTAATTGTATATGTTTATTTATATACTAAAATGTTTTTGTATATTGTATATTTTTATGATTATACTAAAATATGTATATGTATATTGAATATGTTTATGCATATACTAAATATATTTATTTGTATATTGTATATATCTATATGTGTATGTATGTTGACAAGACACCAGAAGTGTCAAAACAAAATTACAACTTTTGTAGTGATTTTATAACAAGCATATGTTATAAATTTCAATAAATATAATATATATATATATATATATATATATATATATATATATGTGTGTGTGTATGTGTGAGTCTGTGTGTATGTAGTAAATTTGTATGTACATGCACATACGCTTGTTTGTGGAAATACCTATTCCTTACCAGTTTAAAGAGATTTGTCCAACTTATCAAGTAAAAAGTCTCTTTCACCTAAAAATAAATTCATGCTAAAAAATAAAACATTGAGATTATAGCAATCTCTTAAATCATAAAAAGACTTTTTAATACATAAAAACCTGTTTTTAATAAGAGCAATTGACTAATGAAATCTATTTCAAATCTGTGACTTAATAATTCCAACACTGCAGTCTGCCAAAATAATGTGGAAAGAGGGCTTGGAAAATTTGATACTCACAGGACAAATTGAATGCAAGAGGGACAAATGAAAACAATGCATAACCTACTTAGTGAGCTTGAGTAAATGGATAGTGAAATGAAGCAAGGTTTTAGAAAGATAACAATAGGACAAAATTTACTAAGAGCTACAAAAGACAAGAAATATTGGAGATCTATGATCAATTAATTCTTGAAGGGACATAGAAGAAGCTCACTAAGTAGGTTATGCATTGTTTTCCTCTGTCTCTCTTGCCTTCAATCTGTCCTATGAGTATCAGGTTTTCCAAGTCCTCTTTCCTCATTACGTGCCCCCAAAATTTCAACTGCCTTTTCCTGATGTAAACTTTAAGTTTCTTATTTGTTTCCATTGTCTCTAAAACTTTGTTGTTGGTAACATGTTTGGCCCATGGTATTCTCAGATTCTCAGCATTATTCTGTAGAATCCCCTTTCTGTTGCTTCAAGTCTCTTCTTCTTCTTTGAGATTGTCCAACATTCACTACTATACAGGAGGACAGATATCATGTAACAGAGTCCAGTAGTCTTTTCTTTGTTTCCAACAAAGATTTTTCTGTCTCTTTTCTTTTTTCTGTCAATCTTTCTACTTCAGCTTTTGGAATGTATCTTTGGCTATTCCAATGTATGTTCTGATTTCAGTGTCGCACTTTACATCCTCTGTTGGAACATTCCCCAGATATAAGTTGATAATCCATAACTCTTGAATATTTGTTGATTTCTATTCCCTCCTATATAAAACGTTTGATATTATGTTAAAGTCCAGTAGACATTTCTTTGCTTCTAACAAATTTTTCTGTTTCTTAATACTTTGTTTAGCTTAAGATGTACGTCCAGTCTGTGATTACAAATCAATTACAATAGAAATTTAGTGATTAGCTACTTCCATAATTAAATGTGTAAGGTTTCTTATGGGAACATTTCATAGCACATGGAATAATGGTGGTGTAAAGGGTACATGCACAATGAGCACATGACCAATTGATTTGCAATGCAAAGATAACATTTATTAAAACAAAATTAACAAAAAGAAAGTTTAAAACAAAATTTTCTTTTGTTAGATGTAAATTGCATACACAACAAAATGTTCATTAATATGCTATAGTGGGAACTTATTTTGTTGGTGTGTTTAACCATAGAACACTAACAATCAATTAAATTTACACCACTACTAACCATGGGTATATCATATCCAATTTTGAAAATATCAAAAAAGTATTAAATGTAAATCTTTATTTGAAATATTTTACATGCAGTCACTTCAAACTGTGTACTTTGAGTTAACATTAATAGGAACTGAAAAACATATTATTTAGGTAAGAAAATCAGGTACTGACAATTGTAATTAAAAATAGGAAAATTTGCACTGGGTACAATATACCCATGCTTAGTGTTCTAGGGTTAATGGGTGAAGCAGTAACATAGCTTGACATAGTTATTAGCCAAAATTGGATATGAAATCTTTGTTACATAACATTCAATCTATATCATCAAAAGCAATTGATTGATTTTTACGGTTTATCAACCCCATGTGGCTTATTTAAAACCAAAACATGTTTTGAATCATAAGAATAATTCTTTTCTTTAGTGAATAAAAATTTCAGTATCAATCTTTTAGGTGTTAAAAATGATTTGTCTCCATACAAGTCCTAATCATATCTTGGTTAGGAAAAGAAAATTAGGTTCATACATTTCCCATGAATATTACTCATGTCTCAGGTTGATATTTTTCCTACATTTGATGGGTTTAAACATTGGTTCTTGTACAGTTACCAGTTAAGCAATGGTGAGCCTTGTCAGTACCTAGATGGATGACCGCTTGGGTATACCAGGTGCTGTAAGTTGTGCAGGTAGTGTACTGGATAATGGATCAGAATTAGAAATCATTGAGCCAAGGTTAAATTCCAATTGGATTTGATATATTCATTTACATGTAAATATCATTGTGAAAGGTAT